AAGCTTTAGTCATAGTCCCTCCACTTGCTCCTGTGTCCTCTTGGGTGTTTTTAAAAAGTTATTAGTAGAATAGTAACTAGAGGCTCCAGATAAGCTGTCTGTATCTCCTTGACCCCCCAAAAAGGCCAAAGTCTAAAGCTCTGGCATTATTTCTTTGTTTGCTTCAAAGTGTCCTTTGCCCATGAGATAGTTTCATCCTGTCAGAGTCAGCCTATGTCCTGTTCTACATTTCTCCAGTTTGTATAAAACTTTTTTTTTTTTTTTTGATTTTCTTCTTTGGTTTTCTTGCCATGAAAGACTCCATTTTACCATCAGGTTTTGATGTCATCTTGAGGATGGAGGATGAATGTATCCTGGACAGACAATAAGGAAGACCATCTGTAGAGCACCACCCACAAGGACTGATGAGAGCTTATCCCTGGAGGTTGAAAGTGTTCCACCCAGTGAGGTTCTCAGGGCCAGTGGAGAATGTCGGGGAACATTGTGAATTACAGACCTTTTGGAATAAGGCCTGTGTGGTTTGAATGAGAAGGTTCAGTCCTCAGTGTCACTGTTTGGAGAGGCTTGGTAGATGTGGCCTTGTTGGAGGAAGTGTGACACTGAAGACAGGCTTTGAGAGTTTGGAGAGTCATGCCACACCCACGCCTCGCCCTTTCTGCTCTCTGTTTGGGTTGTGAACTCTTGGCTACTGCTCCAGCATCTCTGCTCCACTCTCATGGCCTTCTATCCCTCTGGAGATGAAAACACCAACTTTTTCTCCGCCACAGTGCCATTATGATACTTTATGAGAATAACAGGAAAGTAATGACTGAGTTGCCTCAAGACACATGTTTTCTGGTGGTTGAAAGAAGTCAAGAGAATGACTAATAGCTATTTGACAAACAGAAAATGATATAAACTTAGAGTCACAGGAATTCCTGTTCACTGAGGCCCGAATCATCATGGATGTATTTTCCCTCAGGTGGTCTTCTATCGAGGCAATGGGGCTGACAGGCAGCACAGGCCAGAGAGGGGCAGATCTTGGCTACAGAGGGAGTTCCTCTCAACTGAGTCACCAGGATTGTTAAAATGGGTGTGTTCCACGTATTTTTCCAAGTACCTTAACTTACCATTGCCTTTCCTGATCATGCCAGACAGCATACCAGGAAGTACTTGACTTGCTTACTTTAAGAGAATGATACAAGTAAAATTCTCTTCTGAGAATTTATATTGCCACACTCTTCCTATCAATGACCAAATGTTAAACCAAAGAAAAGTTCCATCATGGGTTAAAGTATCAACTCCTTTTATATACATTCATTACCATCCAACAATTCACAATTTAGCACCACCAATCAAAAGACTTTACTACATATCTAGCAATATACATGCCCACCACTGTGCCAGAGAGTACAAGCAATTCCACTAGGCTTCTGGCCTAGCAGGCATTTTACAGCTTAGCTGCTGAGATGACAATTCCAGGCATGGCAACTCACAAAAGAAAAACACTAAAGAGGAAAAGCACCAGGAGGAAGGACATGGGAACCAGGAGGACATCAGTAAGGACACAGTGGAGTCTCAGGACAAGCAGGTCAAAGGATGAGAGTCAGGACTGATGAGTAGCTAGGAGGCAGAGTGAGTGTGGGGTTTGTAGAACTGCATGCCTGGCTCTGCTGTTGCTCTGCCTCACTCAGAACACTCCTGCAAATGGCTTTTGTGAACACTAACACATGTTTGAAATCCAGAGATGCAAGCATAGTGTATTCTTCCACTTGCTTTCTTTGGTGACAATATTCTGCAAAAGCAAGCTTAAGTCACATGCACAAAGGCTGTCAGAGCAGAGCAAAGATCAGTGGCCTTCCAGAGGAGGTCTATGGGCATAAGCTCATCTGTATCACACTCTAAATACTGGAGAGCCAGCAGTCTGTGCGAAACTGCCTGCAGCAGTACTCAGAAATCATACAGCAGTGAGTGAGCAAGACCTTTCTCAATAAGCACAGTGTGCTTTAATAAGACATCTTCCCTTCACTTTCAGGCCAGAGGGTGACATCTTCTCTTGAAGATTTTAGTAACTAGGTAACTGTGGTAGTTTGTAAGAAAATGGCCCCCACAGTGTCACAAAAGGTGGCATTATTTGATAGGATTAGGAGGTATGGTCTTGTTGGAGGAAGTGTGACACTGAAGACAGGCTTTGAGAGTTTGGAGAGTCATACCACACCCATGCCATGTCCTTTCTTCTCTCTTTTTGGGATGTGAACTCTTGGCTACTGCTCCAGCATCTCTGCTCCAATCTCATGGCCTTCTATCCCTCTGGAGATGAAAACATCGACTTTTTCTTCTCGGCAGTGTCTTCATGACAGTACTTTATTAGAAGATTCACTCAGTTGTCAGCCCCAAGGCTTTGGCCAGGGCACTAAGGAACCAACTCAGCCACATGTATTCAATCAAAGGTTTTTAAAGAGGACTCATGCCTGTATGTCAGCACAGGGGAGCCTGAGGCAAGAGGATTGTTGTGAGTTGGAGGCCAGCCAGAGCTACATAATATTTTCAGCTTGGCCTACACAGTTTCAGAAAAACAAACCAAACCAGAAAACAAAACCCAGAAATACACAAAGTGTCATGTGTGCTAACTGGCTGTCAAAAGGCAAGCAGAGACTCTCAACTCAAGCTGTACTTATAAAGCGTCCCATCCATATTCAGCAATCCAGCATTTGCTACAGTTTTGTAGAGGCTTTATGTTCAGTTTTTATTTTGATGCAGTCAAGTGTCACCTGGGGAGATGCAATCCCCCAGATCAGACTAGCCTATGGTTATATCTTTGGGAATGATCTTCACGTTTGATGTGGGCAGGCCATAGCCCTGTAGTGTGGCCATACAGTCTCTTCTAGATGCTGCTGGGAAGGAGAGCACAGTCTATAAATTTGTAGGGACATGGAATCAGTGAATAGGAGCCCTGGCTCCTGGGGTAGCATGTGGTCCAGTTTGGATGCCTTGGGTCACACTTAGTCATCCAGCTATTACAGGACTGTTGGAGTATGTCGCGTTATTTAATTTTGTTTTCTAACACAATGTCTCACTCTATGGCCCAAGGTGACCTAGCGCTATGTAGCTCAGATGGGTCACCACTTCTGGTGAGGCTTCTAGGTGGATCCTTTTTAGGTACCATCCTGAGCTCACAAAAGCTGTCTGTCTCAGTCTGGTTTTCCCTCACTCAATGATTCAGCCTCTGGGGCATTCTTGTCAGGATGTGGCAGACAGGAAACAGAGGCAAGTATGTCTCTCTCTTCCTGGTTGACTCTGTCTGCTTCTACCACCTCCATCCAAATCAGTCAACCACAGACGGTGGCTAAGCTGGCACAAATCTGGTGGTCCTGGGAGCTGTCACCCCTGTTGCTGTATTACCCTGCTGTCCAGACTCACAGCCTAAGGAGTTCAGAAAAGCAGTGTGGTTAGATGTGTGCAGTATGACCTCCTGGAAGAAGTGAACCTGCTCTTATTCACCCTGAAGAAGGCACTGATGCCAGACAAGAGAGACAGGGCCACCCAAGTCTAGATTATGAGCTGATGAGGTTATTGGGGTGACTTACAGGCTTTCAGCTGAGGGGTCATTAACAGGGGCATGAATGTTGACTGGTGGACTCTGTAACATCAGGAGTTCCATGCCCACGTGGCAGGCAGCTTCCCTGAAGAGTCTCCTCTCCCCACAGCCATTGTTTACTGACTGGTAAACTCAAGAGAGACCTTGTGAACTTCCTAAGCCCAGTCAGTTTCAATACCCTCCTTGGTCTTCCCACCCCTTCCTCCCTCCAGGAGGAAAGGCTGCAGTGTGGAGGAGATAGTTACACAGTCACGCCACACAGCACAACTGCAATCCCAGCACTCAGGAGGCTGAGTCAGAAGGATCATGAGTTTAAGGACAGCCTAGCAGTGTAACAGGAGGCTCTTCAAATAAATTTTTAAAAGTAATTAACAAGATACAAGTAATCCACAGCACACCTTACCTCCTAAATATCTCAGCAGAGAACAGAGAGATTTCTTGTTTCTCCCTGTTTATATCCTGTTTCTGCTCAGTTATATCACTCCCTGTCTTTCTGTACAGACCTCCAAGCCTCTATTGTTAGCTTGTGACAAACTCTATTCTCTGATCTCCAGAGAGGCTTTATTTGTGCAAGAAAGATATCACTACATCAGGCTAGCTCAAAAAGACAGAGATCCACCTTCCTCAGCCTCCTGAGTGCTGGGATTAAGGTGAGTAACTCCACATCCAGTGAAATTCAAGTACTTTATCAAATAATTACAGAGTGCACATTTTTGTTTCATTCTTGATGTCAGAAAAAAATGTTTTCATTTTTCTCTATTCAGCAGGATGGTACTTAATCTTTATTATGATGAGGTGTATTGTTTCTATTCTCTGTTTTTTTGGGGGACTTTTACAGTATAGATATACTTGATTTTGTCAAATTCTTTCTACGTGTACAGAAATAATCACATGCTTCAGTACACGTATTAACTGTCAAGCCATCCTTGCATTCAAGAACAAGAAACAGCTTATTCTTAGTGCATGATCTTTTTAAAGTGAAATTAAATTTGTGAAGTTTTGAGGACTTTTGTATCTGTGCACATCAAAGAAATAGGGTTTTAGTATTACCTTTTGTGTGTGTCCTTGTCTGGGTAATGCTGATTGTAGAAGCATTCTATCTGAGCCTTGCCTTCCATTCACAGACTTTAAGAAGCACTCCTCCCTCTTCTGTTTTATGGCATAGTGTAAGAAATACTTGTTAAATTTTAAAAAAAGTTTTTTTTTTTTTTTTTTTTTTTTTTTTTTTTTTTTT